ATAAAACTGTATTGAAGGGAAACAAGTGTGTTTTATTTTAAGGTTTTCCTTTTTATTGTTTTGTTGCCACAAATACACTGAACCTATCAGTAAGTTCACAGAAAGTTCACAAACTCCAAGAACTTGATTGTTCTTGGAGTTTTAGTGGAGATTAGGATAATTGATTATATATGGAAAATAATTAGCTTGCTATGGAGAAGAGGAGTTGCTGAAGAGGCTGAAAGCTGAGTAGGTACAGAATGTGGTGTGCTTGGAGACGGACTGTCCGGCACAGCTCACCTACAGGAAATGACTACTTAACAGATTTTTCCTGCTAATGTTCAGTCTCTGGATAACAGCATGGATTATTTATGGCGGCAGGTCCACACTTGGCATGTAACACAGACTGCAGTGAGCTTCTTCAGCAGCAGACAGCATGGACATCCTGACTGGACTGCCGCTATGCCTATTACATAAAAAGCTGCAATGGACTGTGTAGTTTGACATTCAGTCCTCAGGACATGCATAAACTTTTTCAGCAATTTGATTTAACGTCACTTTTCTGTCCAATCAGACCACAGATTCCAGCCTTTTTTTTCCCTCCATGTTCGTCAGGGAGCGTTGGTGAGCCATGATGACCTCACACCTGTGTATCACCGTTGACGAGTACTGACCACTGCAGACCCTGAACATCCAGGTCATTACAACCTGTTTATTGTTAAAATAACTCTAATCTCCATGCGTTATTATTTTTACAGCTTCTAACGCCGAGTTCCAGCTAGAAAGTCGGGATGTCAACATGGCGACGCAAGTTGAAACAATACCGATACAATGCAGTATCTCTTACAAACATCATTTTAAAGATGGAGTATTATATATTTTCCAAGCACATAGTACCATTTTATAGTACAATGAAGTAACTACGTTACCTCCAATTGTGATAAAAATGCTGCATATATCAAATATGACTTAAAAAATTTTTGACTCTGAATTTGATGCCTGGAAATTGGGCATCTGTCTCTTAAAAAAAAAACCTCCTGCTCTTTCTGAAACTGCCTTCAGGAAGTCAACGCAACACGTCTCCCCTATTAACCCTTTAACAACGTTTTTACCAGCCTTGCTCTGAGAAAGAGTCCTTATATTGAGCTCAGCTGATGTGCAGTTCCACCAGGCGTTGCTAATTGCTGCTGGCTGGACTGAAGGAGCTGAGGTGGGAGGGGTCCTCTGTGAGGCCGTTGCTTGCAAACTGCAGCTCCTCATTAGAGCTGTCCCTCGAAGGCGGAGCTAGGTCCACCCAGGAGTTGTGCAAAGCTGAATGGTTGCCATGAGAGATTCAAGGACTTCTCAAACATGCATGAAAAAAAGAATCAAAGCAACAATTCAGGTATGTTTCTGAAGAGGTAGTAACATTCTAACATGATGTACAGATCAAAAAACTCCATCTTACATATTACTGCTTCTTAAAGCAGTAATATGTTGAAACAGCACTTTTAACATTGATTTTAGACACTCTTGCATGTGTCTCTTCTAAAATGAACATGTTTCCACCACACCTTGCGAGGACTGGCCACATTGAAACGCAAAGTCAGTCATAACTGGGTGGAGTCGGAGTTGCTCCCAATGTTTCAGTGGGATATCCGACTTTGGTTGATTTTCCAACAGGGAAATTGGAATTTCTAGGTTCCAAGTACAACTGGAACGCAGCATAACTCATCAAGATTAATGAGAAAACTGATGCTAAAATAAGAAATAATTAACTGCGACACAAAGTTCTTCACTGGTTTTAGCAAACCTCGCCCATAAATAACCAATTAAAATAATAACTAGTGAAACCTAGAGCACCTCACCAAGTTACAGGGGAAGTGTCTTCATGTGAGTGAGATGGAGCTGTGTGTGCCTATTCTTAGTAGAACATCGCTAGTCCAAAACTGGACCTGTCTGGTTTTTACTCACTCACTCCAGGGTGACTTGCGTCTCCCTTGCAGTTCGCTCTGCATGAGAGGAAGGAGGGGGCACGTGAATATCAGGGCTGACTGACATTCATAAGTTATGCTGACCTCAGACCAGTCTGACACTCAGCATTACAAAGAGGTGAAAATAAATCCCACAAGCATTTAACCAAGCCTGTCTGCTTAACAGTATGAACTCTTAAAGGAAGTGAGGCTGATCGCAGACAGAAAAGTAAAGTCTCTGGGACTTCAGCACTGACGAGTGACGCTATGAGGATGTGGAGAGTAGAAAACAGCCAATGGGAGCTGCTGACATCCTTCCTGAAACGCAGCCGGCCAATAGGATTACGCGTCATTAATGTGCAAGGTGTCCAGCCCATTTTCTGTTTGCGTGTGACTCAGCCGCAGGAGCATCAAACAATACACAATAGCGTGGACATAGCCGCTCATTAGCGGCGTCCACAAAGCCTGGCACCATTATGTATTGTGACACTGCAACTGACACACACACACCCCCACTTGCACAAAACAAACCGATCAGTCCAACCAGAGTCTGACAAAAAAAACAAAAAAAAAACACACACACATATATATATATATATAAAGAGCTGTCCATGTTACACCTGGTCTAACTGGGCAGCAGTTGCAGCACACTGTTGCCTAAAATAGCAGCGCTCCAGCGCTCCATCAGTGGACTCTGAAAATGCTAAGCTCAGCTTGACACGTGGATACACTCTCCTGCAGATACCCATCCCACTACCATCCATCTCCCCCCATAAGGTCCCTTTACTCCATCCGGATCAGACAAGACCCAACCGGCTGTCTTGCTGATCTGATACATGTACAGCATGTTTTTGCCATAAGCCATTTCCAGTCTTGCATTTAAAGCAAGGGCGCTGATGATTAGAGGCTATAAATGGAGCAGAACATTTCGGATGGGATTTTCGGATGACAATGAACAGCCTCAGGTGACATCATGGGGTCCTGATGCCATCAAACAATGATACGCAAATAACTGGAAGCTGGACAAAGACTTTGTAATTTAAATGTTTTCTTTGGTTACAGTCAGAACTTGAAGAGTTTTATATGAGATTGTTTAATGTTCCATCTAATTCCTGGTCCCTATCAGAAGATAAAATGTCTACGCATGATGTTTGTGTGAAACAATGTCTGCCCTGCCGACTACGTCACTAGGAGTTACTCTGGTTCATGAAGTCATCTGACCTGACTGTCTGAGCAACAGAGGGTCTGTAGTTAAGAGATTTTGAAGTATGGTGGCACAATGAAAAAAAAAGACACTACGCAGGCTACTACACTATGCTTACCACTCTACTGATCTAGACAGACTTGGATTTGTACATCCTTAAAACAATTCAGATGGTAAACTTTGAGCCACAGCAATTTAATTTTAAACTTCTCAAAAAACAACAACAAAAAAAAAACAAACAAGCAAAAAAAAAAACAGCGCTTTTATTCAGTTAGCTTGGTGCTTCCTTGCGCCAAGCTAACCAATAATCCAGGTATAGGCTACATACTGGTATCAAACAGGAAATAGACTGAACCACCAAATGACTTTTCTTGTCACATTGACTAAGCAAAGCATTTCTAGAGTCACATTCATCCAGTCACAATCAAAAATGTTCACGTTAAGTGGTGGGCATACTTCAACTATTGCGCTAATAGCGGAGCTAGTTTAGCACTTTAGCATTTTTGGTAACTTTGAAAACATTTAGTGCACTTAGTTTCCCCTTAATTAACTTCTCCATATAAATTCTAAAGCACTAACATATTTAAGTCTTTTGTAAACTTTCAGTTAGAGTCAACTAACTTTTTTGTTAGCATTGCCAATCCACTGTTCACTTTTATGTAGTAATATTCTTTGTAGGTAGGCAACGTGGGACTCAGAAGAAACACGTGAAGGAAGGAGGAAGCTTGGCTTTTCCAATGATTTCTAGATGAAAGGTGGTGTGATAGACTGGTTTATAACCCTAGAAATAATTCAGTGCATCTTAACGTATGCTCCAGTACCAAAACCAGGCCTCAAATAGAAGGACTTCTGCCAGAGGTTGAAATTTGCATGATACCTCCCTGTTTCAACAATCTTGGTTTGCCAGAAAAAAACAACACATTTGGTAAGGCGTCACAGATGTACTGGTTACAAACACCAGCATCACAGCTGAAGAAACTGGGATGAATAAAATGCACACAGACAGAAAATGTAAATCCTAGAAGGCTTTAGACTCACAGACACAGATGGTGGCGAGCAGTCTGGTGGCGATGAACGGAGGCAAGCAGTTCTGGAAGGCTGGCTGCAAGACGTAATTGGAAAAGGTGAGGGCAATGACCGCCAGCGTAGTTGGATACATGATGAGAACAGCGCTCCATAACAACAGGAAGCTGGAAATAAAAGAACAAGCATGACTGCAACACACTATTAAAAAAATACAAAACGTCCTTATTTTAGTTAATGAGTAGAACTCATAAGCTATTTTGGGCCGGCAGCTATTTTTACTGTTTCTGCTGTTCCTTTTCAGTTCCACTCGTACTTCTCATTCACACTTGTACAGAAAGCTGTGAGAACAACCCCAGTTCTGTTGCAGTAGTGGTTGAGGGCCTTGTCAGAGAATTATCAAATATATGAAGCTAAAGCTCAAATATGAGGATAAAACGACCAAAATAAGCCACTGCTAGAGTGTTTACCTGCTTCAGCTCAACTGATTTAAATTGATTGCTGATTACCAGGATCTTACTGAACACCAATCCTCTGACTGAGGTGTGTTAAAGCAGAAAAATATGTAAAACATGCAAGTACGCCTTCAGGACCCAATTGCACTTAAAGAAGTCAAATACTGAAGCTGTTATTTTCCTGAGACCATTTTTTCAAAATCAGGCTACTCCCACTTGAAAATACTTGTTTGGCAACAATGTTGTGAATACAGCATGTATCAGTAAGAGGCAGAACTCAAGGCTCTTTAGAAGACTGTGTCCTACACAGGGTAGATCGACTGATCTACACATTTTATACAACTCATCATAATTCTACGCCAGAAGAAGCATGATGCAATAAATCCGGTCGTAAACAATGGCTGGAGCAAGCAGCGTTCCACTTTGTCCTGTTTTTATTTTTCTGAATTCCAGTTTAGCCATATTTATTTAATTGAGCATGATATGTTGTATAAACATTGATTTTATCCAGCTTTAGAAAGTAGTATATCATAAGAACATCTTATTTCTTGAAACTTAAAGAAAAATACTCAAATACATAGACTTTACATTTCTCAGAGTTCACCATTTTGCATTCTTCTGAAGGCTCAAGTATTCATTTTCCAATAGTTTGCACCCTCAATATTTTGAGGTTGCAAAGCTGTGTTGAGTAATCAATGCAAACTTTGACAAATCTGTTATAACTCAAGGCTGTGATGCACAATAATGCCATAAGGATTAATACTTTTATACCATTAGAAAGGTCGTTTTGTCTTCCCTGTATCATATCTTCCATTCCAGAGAGCAAAATACTTGAGTGAAAAATAAAAACTTGGAAAATCTAGACCCTCGACAGGAGTGTTGCTTTTACGCAATCATGTACATCTTTCTAAACTAAACCCATCAAAGGCTGAGATGCGGCGTTTACAAAAAGACACAAGCTACCAATACATTCTACTTACCCTACAAGCCCTCCAAAGATCTCAGTCACATACGAATAGTCTCCTCCAGATTTCGGGATTGTGACACCGAGTTCGGCGTAGCACAACGACCCAAGAGCGCAGATCCCTCCTCCGCAAACCCAGACAATGAGCGACAGTCCCACCGAACCTGCATGCTCCAGCACTCCTTTAGGCGAGATGAAGATCCCCGAGCCAATGATGTTCCCTTCATGGATAGAGTTAACATTGTTAGTTGCTGTTGTTCTTATAATTCAATAGAGGTCAGGTATTGAGCTAATTCACAACTAGCTAGCTGATTGTGATGCCAGAAACCAATAAAGTTTAAGTTGTTATAGCTGTAATAGAATATGTTTTCAATGTTGTTGCACTTAAAAAAAACTGTAAGAAATTTACTACAATCTGTGATATGCAGAAAAAACTTACAGGGCCAGTATTATGTTGCACTGTATCTGTCGTTCAACTGTTGCCAACAACCATCTGTTGCCAACTGTGCAACAGATTCAGTTGTAAATTTTCCTCATTATTCCACACTCAGCCATCAGTGGTATGATGAAGTGGAAGGGAAAAAGGGAATGACTCGACTCGTTCACAGTGTGGTAGGCCATAAGATCACAGAACAGGGTCAGTAGTAGTTGAGTTGCCGAGTATGTAGAGGTCACCAACTTTCTATGTAGACGAGATTACAGTCTAGAGCCGTTTTTCAGGAGTTGGGCTCAGCTGCTTAGCTCTAATGAAAGGAACTCTTAATGTTTCAGTAAACCAATTCGTTTTGGTCACTTTTATGTTCCCAACCTTGTGGGAATGGTTTGGGGAAGACGCCGTTAGTTCCAACATGACTGTGTTGGAGCTTTGTTTTGGCTCTGTGCTGAATCTACATTTACTGTATCTAAGCCTTTACTCTGCACTTTAGACATCTCTTCTATTTTAAATGTCAGAAACTATAAGGATGCGAGTCAACAAATGCTGTGTTCCACTTCCCTGTCGTAAAAAAGAATTAAAAAAAAGTGGAACTTCCCACCAAGACCAACTTCCCACTCAAAGTGGGAGCACTCCAGCTACCTTTAATTAACGGATAACGTGATTCTACTGAAGAGAACAGGTCCAAAATGTGCTCGTTAGACACTGTGTCTTTTACAATTTCCTGCAATGGAGACGCTGATGAACAAACACAAAGAGCTCTCTTGTTTGCGTGTGAAATTGTGGCTGTAAATAATCCATTTTGCTATCTAGGTTTGCAAATGAACACTAGGAGAGAGCAGTGCTGTTGTCATTGCTATCAGGTCAACTCTGAGCCACGTTCAGCTGGAGTTTGAGCTCAGCTGACCCCTACACAAGACAAACTGAGGGTTCCCTCACTTGGCCAACATGTTATGAGTTTAACTTTAGCTTGTCATGTATGACATCATCAGTCTCTCCAAAAGAAAAACACGAAACAAAAGAAAACTACTGCATGCTAGAAAGTAACAAAACAAACAGCAGCTGTCAAAACAAGTGGTGTTTTTGCACTGGCCTCCATGTTTTCCCCCTTCCTTGGGGTAAGTTTGGGGCTAAAAAGTGTGACTCTGCTGAGGGTAAACATTGCGGCCGTTGAAGCCAAGTGAGGCGTGCTGTTGCTTTGAATGCTCCCTAATGAAGCAGAGCAAGAGAGGAGGACCAGGATGTGCATTTGTCATTGTCTTCTCACTTGATGGAGGAGACTGTGTTGAGATGCAGAGCTGTTACATAAAGCCTTAGTTGCGTTTGTTATGTCATGAAGTTCAGCATTTCAGCTGAATGCAGGAATTGGGGGGTCTGCCTATGTCTACATGTATCACAGTTGTAAAATTCTTTCAATAATTACAGTTCAGATTCATGATTTCACTAAAATCTTTTCTCAATGGGGCAAAACTGAATCGTTTCTGTGAAAGCAGTCCTGGTTTTGGGGGGTTTTGTCCCGTCGCTGTGGTTCTCATTTGGCCTCTTTGAAAATTTCCCACCACTGTTTTCGACAAAGCTGAACTGTTAGGAGAGATTTGAAATACCCTTTCAACAGCAATAGGGCTGAAACAATTAACCCGAATAATTGTGATTAATCATTGCTTGACACCATCATCAACTAATTTAGTAAAGGATTAATTGTTTACTGCAGTATATGGACTCAAAAAAGGCCGACCTTTTTGAGCTGGCCTAACAACACACTCAGAGCAGTGATTAAGCCAAGACTGTACAAAAAAATATACATTTTGAATTTAAGATTAAAACAAAATCTTCTTTGACTGTAAATATGTTCTAACCAGAGCTCTTCATGTGGGATAGTTGTAGCTTCACCTGGTTCAAATTCTGTAAAATTTATCCTATTAAACACCTGCTATCCAATTATTAATCGGTTAACCCAAAAAATTAAACAGATCAGCCCTACGTATATTAAGTAGTGCAGAAAGGGCTGAGTTTTTCACGTTATTTGAAAATGATAATCAACGTTACTTAAAAGGGACAATGTACAACTCAAACATAAATGTCACCATTTGATGCACTGTACCAGATTGTAGCGAAAGTTATCCTCCAATCTGTCTTCCAGGGTAAAATCACTATTGGGCAATTTTATAAAAACGCTGCACATAACTCTGAGTGCCATCGTGGTATATGGTAGTGGCAGCATCATGCTGTGAGGATGTTCCCCACCCCCCAGCAAATCAGAATTACAGAGCAATTCTTGTAGTCAGCCTCTTTTACTCTGATTCCCCCTAATAAAACCCAGTGCTGCCAACTGGCTTTAGAAGTCGCCTAACAAATGTTCAAAATTAGTGATGCGCAAATATGGAAATTTGGGCCGATACTGATAAAAGAAACATGACACGACCAACCTCCTTCACTCTGGCAACAACAGATATAAATGATTTATTTATATGACCGATACTGATATGTTTAAAAATGACCAATATTGACCGATACCAATGTTAGTGCCGATATATAGATCATTCCTACACACAAGCCTCACACAATTCAGTGGAACCTCTGAATATGGACACATTTGAATATGAATTCTTCCAAAGAAGAGTCTTGAATGAATGCCCAAATTGCAAATTTTCCTTTAAATTCAAATGTCTAGGATGGGGGTGGCGATATGGTGGTACAAAAAGGATATTAGTCCTCCAGCAAAAAATATACCAAAAAAAAAAAAAAAAGATTAAGTTTGAATACTTTATCAATGCACTGTGGTTAGCTGACTAATCGTTACATTTATGTGTGAACTTTTGCAGTAATTGAGGTGAGGTGGTTCTACCAGCTGTGAAATGTTGTGGATTTTTGTCTGGAAAAAAGAAAAACAGAAAAAGAGAAAGTTAGAAGTGTTTATGTATGCGTCATGAAGCAAGGAGGATGTTTCACCATTCGCTGTCTCACAACTTAAATGTGAGGGCAGAGAGGATTCGCGCTGCAGAAAGTGAAACAGCCAAATAGGTTTCTGGTTCACATCACTATGCCGCCAGAAGAAAATAAGAACTGGAGGATTTTTGTTTTATTTAGTTTTTAATTCTCGTTTCAGTCAGAATTGACATTTTCATTGGGTGGTTTTGTCAAGCAGTATTACTACTCGCTACAAGCAGAGGAGCACCAGACCAAGTCAGTACAACACATTTCAAGAAAAATGCAGTCAGTTTATGAGTAGGCTGTTGGTGGTGGGTAGCAATATGACTCAAGCAGCTCATGTTTACCCACTCTGTAGTGTTTTTAAAGAGAACATTCACTTTACTCCACTAAGATTACGATTCAGACCAAACAAAGCCATTGTGATCTTTACATTCACTGATGAAGGATTTTTTGACAAATAAAAAAAGGACAAACTACAATTCGCTTTAGATTGTATTCATCAACTGGATAGGTTCTGACATAGGCTACAGAGAAAGCCAATCAATTATCCAGAGATCCAAAAAGCCAATTTCACCACACACACTGGCCACTAAAATCCTGAGCAATGCATCTCTCATTTTTAAAAGACTGCATCACAACTAAATAAGTATTCTTTTTGTTCACAACTCTTCATGCCTCTGGGAAAACAAAACAAGCAAAAAGATCCACTTCCACAATGTTGATCATTAGCAAGTTATATATGAGGTTTCTGACACGATGGTGGCGAGTCAAAAACACCAAGGAAGAAATTCTCTTTCCTCAACGATACAGCTTGAAAATCTGATTTGAACGCATGTTTATAAAGAAGCCACTAATGATTATTTTAGTAAATTAGTTATTCTAATTATTTTGACAATTAATTGCATCTTTGCGGAGTTTTATTTTAACCACTTTAGCCAATTTTACAATATCAGAAACACACAAATATTTATTTATTTATTTTTTACACAAGAAAAATATGAAAACATTTTATTGCCTAAAATGCTTCAACACCCCATTCACTTGATCATTTGTAGCAAAGGATGGTAAAAAAATATTATAAACATGTGAAAAGCTCAACACTTTGAGCTTTTTTACAGATCTTAAATTTAAAATGTATATATTTTTAACAGCTTTGGTTTATTTTAGTGCTCTGAGAATTTGTTCTTCCAGCAAATTGCCTTTTTTTTTGGTTTTGATTAATTAACGATTAATCAATTACTAAATTGGTTGACGATTATTTCATTCATCGTTTCAGCCCCAATTTTAAGACTAATTGCTGAATGAGTTGCAGTACTCAGTGAAGCTGAACATGTCCAAGGAAAGACAAGGAATACACCGATCAGGCATAACATTATGACCAGCCAGAAGGGTGCACACTCACTGGTCTGCAGGCCGTGCAGCTCCGCAAATCAAACCCGGTCACCTAATTATCACAGTAAGGCCTTCATCAAAGTATGTGATATGAGTTTCTCATGTCTCCGATTCAACAAAACAACAGAATCAGAGTTGAAGTTACGATTGTTTCCATAGCGACATGGAAATGCAACAATCAGCCTTTTCCTGATTTTCAGGTTTCTTAGGAGGTCTGGTCATCCAACTTCCATATTTTTTTATTTTTTCCTTTTGAGAAATACGACATGAAAAGAGAGAGAGAGAGAGCACAATTAAAAATAAGCAAAATGGTTTCTTTGAAAGAGGTATTTTTGAATCCGGTGAAAAACAAAGGAATTTAATGGGTTTTACCTGACTTTAACTCAATTAAAAAATAAAATTTAATTAAAGCAGGGGTGTCCAAGCTTTTCGTCACGAGCCAAAATCGTCAAGACAAAATTAGCA